CCGTCGTTGTTTGGCGGATCCGGGCTGGGGATTCGAACCCGCCACCTTAGGTGTACATGGCTGGCGCCTTAGCCGGTTGAGCCACAGGCGCCGAGCCACAAAGCATTTTTCATTTGATGACTAGATTGCTTCAGATATTTTTATGATTATTAATATTCTTAATTATACATCTGGTCCTGCTTCCTTAGGGCAGATTTTTAGATGGAACATTGCTGGGTCAAATGGCATACAGATTTTATATTTTTATCAATATTGACAAGCTACTCTTCCAGAATGGTTCTGTTTACATATCCTCAAAATGGGTAGGCCTTTCTGGCAGAAGTGACGGGTGAGTGTTGGAAAAGAAGCATATCCTAATTAGAAGAAAAAAATGTGAATAAAAGCATAGAGTTGGAAAAATAACATTTTGAAAGAGGCTTAGTTCAGTGGAGAAAAGCAGTAGGAAATGATGCTGTGGAAAGGTGAATTGCAACGAGTTTGTAGAGGCTCCAGAATGTCTACTTAAATAGTTTGGGCTATTTTGTAGGCAATGAGAAGCTCCTGACATTTTTAGGAAGGTTTAAAATGCCTTGGGAGCTTGGCACGATGGCTCACACCTTAATCCTAGCACTCTGGGAGGCCAAGGTGGGTGGATTGCTTGAGCTCATGAATTCAAGACCAGCCTGAGCAAGAATGAGACTCTGTCTCTTCTAAAAATAGAGAAACTAAGACAAGAGGATCACTTGAGTCCAATAGTTGGAGGTTGCTTGTAAGCTATGATGATGCCATGGCACTCTACCCAGGGCAATGGATGGAGACTCTGTGTCAAGAAGGAAAAAAAAAAGAAAGAAAAAGTGAAATGACTTGGGAAGCTCATCCCAGCAGTGTGCTCAAGATGAGCCCGATAGATAGAACTGACCAGGCCTAAAGGGCAGTCCCTCTAAGGACAGATGAGAAATAACTGGAGCTGGATTAGGACATCAGATTAGGGGGGGAGGAAGGAGCTCACCTCTGCTGTCACCTAGAGTCCTTTAAGTAAGCCACCTTGGCAAGGCCTTGCTCTTAGTGACTATCAGGTCATTTCTCTAATATGATACCTAATTTCAGAAGCAGTCACTTGTGTTTTGTTTTTTAATTGTAGTAAAATATACAAACTAAAGATTAACTTTTTTTTTTTTTTAATAGACCAGGTCTCACTATGTTGCCCAAGCTAGATTTGAACTCCTGGGATCATGGGAGCCTTCTACCTCAGCCTTCCAAGTAGCTAGGAATATAAGCACATACCCCCACGTTCAGCTGATTTTTCTAATTTTTGTAAGGATGGGGGGGTCTCATTATATGTGTTACACCCGGCTTGTTTAACTATTTCTTTCTTTCATTCTTTTTTTTTTTAAACAGATTCTCACTTTGTTGCCCTCAGTAGTGTGCCGAAACATCACAGCTCACAACAACCTCAAACTCTTGGGCTTAAGCAATTCTCTTGCCTCAGCCTCCCAGGTAGCTGGGACTACAGGCGCTCACCTCAATGCCCAGCTATTTTTTGTTGCAGTTGTCATTGCTGTTTAGCTGGCCCTGACCAGTTTGGAACCTGCCAGCCTCGGTGTATGTGCCTGGTGCCATAACCACTGTGCTACGGGCACTGAGCCTAGTTTAACTATTTTTAAGTGTACACAGGTCTGTGGCATTAAGTACATTCACAGTTTGAGCAGCCATCATCACCAGTCATCTCCAGAACTTACACATCATTCCAGATGAAAACTGTACCCACTAAACAATAACTCCACAGCCCTACTTCCCCCAGCCTCTGGTAACAACTGTCCTACCTTCTGTCTCTATAATCTGACAATTTTAGGGATCTCATATAAGTGGATTCATATGGTAATTTTCCTTGTGTGTCTAGCTTATTTCACTTAGCATAATATCTTCAAGGTTGATTCAGTCACTTTGTTTTGAAAATCTGCACTATTTCTTGCCAACTCTGACACTGCAGAATGTCATCTGGGAAGTATAGTCCACTTGCCAGCATACTCTTCTCAATCAGCTTTTTAGAGGGGACACTGGTGGAAGTGCTTGCCTGTTAACTTTATGGGTGGTAGGGGTTGGGGAAATAGGGCTTTCTCAAACAGAGTGGACAAGTGACTTTTCAGGGCCAGAACATGTGAAAACATCGCTACATTTGTGTTTCCCAATAATTGAACTTTAAAAAATAAAAAAGGCATTTTTAAAAGATGGGATCTTGCTTCATTGCCCAGGCTTGTCTTGAACTCTTGGGTTCAAATGATCCTCCCAAGTAGCTGGATTACAGGTGTGAACCACCATGGATGCCTGGCTTCCAACAGTTGACATTTTGAACAATTTGGAAGGCATAACAAACCCTCAGAGGGCTGCTGGAACTAGAAAAAGGAGTTTGGAATTCAGTCCTACCCTCTGCTTTTCAGGTTGCTGGGAGAGGTGTGACTAAAGGCTGGAATTGATTGGTTACAGAGCCATTACACTGTCCTGTGCTTTTTTGCTGTTTTTTCCTTTGCTTTCCACATTTAGTAGAGTTTTAGGCATATGGTGAAATTGGTGGGAGGCGAAGTAGGCAGACAATAGAAAATGTGAAGAACAGCTTTATAAATGGATCATTTCCAAGTGTAGAACAGGGTGGGTGAGTGAGTGGGAAGTGGAAAAGGCTGGGGATACTGTTTCTTGGCCATGTCTCAGGGCCTACAAAGGATCAACAAATAAGATTTTAGTTTCTGTATCAATACAGGCCTCTTTAGATGTCTGTTTTCTTTTACATCTGACAAAAGCAGCAAAACCTCTTTTCATTATGGGATCAGGGTCATTTCAAACAAAACTCTCTCTTTTTAATAGCTCTGATACAGCCCTGAGATGCAATCTTTGCTGGAGCAGGTCTTGGGAATTTTGGAGAGCTATGATAGTGTTAAGCCTTCTTGTATCCAGAGCTGAATATCTGACCACACATTTTTGTTGCTACTGGCTGGAAAAGAGGCCGTGGCTGCCATCAGCTGTTCCCAGAAATGTACACTCCAGGGAAGTTACCCAGCCCCGTTTTCTCAACATAGAAGACAGCAGGAAATGCCTCTCAGGCTCCTACACTTTTCCTCCAGATTCTATAATGCAGTACTGGGGTGTGGCCACTTCTTTTCTCTCTACTCCAATGCAGCAAGGAAATTTTTTCTCAGTACCATAGCTACAGCCAGGGCAGCTCAGAAATCAGATTACAGGTTCCAGGCATAGGAGAAGCAGCCAAACTGCAGAGGATCGCGAAGCTTGGGGCTGGGCCTGGGTCCAAGTTCTGGTGCAGTGGCCAGTGCTTTTATGATTATTTAAAGAGGAGGACTGCTTGCTAAGCAGGAGGCTGAGGCCTTCCGGAGGTGCAGAGCTCTGGGTCTGCCTGACTGCACAGGAATGATCTGGGTGTTACAATGGCTGTGGCCCAGCTGTCACCAGAATGGGGACAGGAAAAGGCCTTCCTAACCAGGGGCTTCTGGCTGCAGGATGTAGAGCTCAATCCAACTGGGAGGACTGTAAGGAACAGAAATTCGGGGAATCTCAATTTTTTCTTCTCAGCACCCCAGCAGCCACCTAAGTCAAATATGCCTTCCTTTCCTCCTTGAAGGCAATATACATTATACTTTATTCTGTTTCAAAGAGAAGGTTCAAATCCTTGCTCTTCAATGGCTAGCTGCCTGACCGCTAGGAAGAGCCCTTAGCCTCTGTCAGGGTGCTCATTTGTAAAATGGAGAAATAATGTCTACCTCATAAAATTCTTGCAAAGTTTAAAAAAATAAAGGTAATATACATGAAATGGTTAACATGGTACCTGGCACACAAGCAGAGCTCAATTAATTGTGGCAGAAAAAATCCTGATGCCTTGTTATGAAATATGACTAATGCATCTCATTCCACCTGTGAGAGAGCTTTTGCTTCAAGAATATGATAAATTATTAACTCTTTAAATCCCGAAATGCCGGACTTGTCCCAAGTTTATCAACTTCCAGATTTAGCTTTTTCCTCTCACCACATCCCCAAACCCAAGGCCCCAAATCATCCTCATTTGCTGCGCCCCAGCCCCCACCAGAGCAGAATGCCTTGCGTCCCCAGCACCAGCCTGCCTCCTCTACGGGAAAGTGGGCAGGAAGAAGAGAAGCCTGAGGGTGATCTCACCCTTTGGGACTGGGCGTTTTTCCGGCCAGGACGCGCAGCATCCCCGGCCCCAAGGCTGCGATGGTCCCTGCCCCGCCCTTTGCCGCAGTCTTGGAAGGGCTCCCAGGAGCGGAGGGGTGCGGTGCAGACGACTCTCCACAGGGCGGGAGGGAGGGGCGGGATTGCAGGGCAAAGGCTGCGGGAGGGTGGTGAGGCTAGAGCATCTCTGCCTGCCCGGGCGAAGGCAGTGACTCCACTGCACCATCGCCCCCCCTACCCCTTGCGTGCGCCCTATTTCTCCAACCTCTGGCGGCCTTCCCACCTCGCTCTTCTCTTCACCCCCGCATCCCCGCCTCGACTCCTTCCGGGACTGCTCGGCCCTTTCCGCCGGGGCGGTGGAGCAGCTCGCGGGCGAGAGCCCCGCCCCCGCCGCTCCGCCCGAGAGCTCCTCCGCCCCTCGCGCAGCGCCGGGGCGCTTCCCCCCGCGCTCGCGCCCGATGCCTCGGGAGCACGCTCACCGCCTATAAAAGAGGCGAGGCGCGCGCGTCGTCGCCACTACCCGCTGCGGAGCGAGCGGCGCAGAGCTGATCCTGAAGAGCCGCGTTAGTTCCTCAACACCCCTCGGCCAGGCGCACCCAGGCCCAGCACCCCCAGGAGCCGGTGAGACGGGGAGGTGGGAGCGCGGATGCGGGATCCTGGGCAGCCGATCCCTGGGCGGGAGCGGGCAGTCCCTGGGCTGGGGCGGGGCCGGCGCGCGGACAGGTGAGTCTGACGGGCCTCTCTGCTCTTTCCTGTCGGCCAAGGAGCCGGGCGAACAGGCCGCCACCGCCTTTGTGGCGCGGGGGCTGCGAGGAGCCGCCCCGCAGAGGCTGGGCGCCGGCCGCTGGAATGTCATTGACTGGGGGAGGGGGACCGGAGGCCGCCAGGTCCATCGCCGCTGGTTGCGGCCCCGCCCTGGCCCATCGGGCTGCGGCAGGTGGGTGGGGGCTCTTCGCCATCCCCCTTCCTGCAGAGCGCTCCCCGCATCGCCCCCGGTCCCCTCCCTCGGCGGGGAGCGACTTCTGCAGCTCGTTCTCCCGGAGCAATGCCGGCCAGCCCTTGAAGGAGGAAGACCCGAGAGCATAGAGTAAAGGGCTCTGTGACCTTAATTTCATTCTGTATGGCGAATTTTGGCCCTCTCTCTAGATGCAAAAGTATCCAGGACTGGCCATTTCCTTTTCTGTCCTTGTAATAAACATTACTTTCCTCCCCAATTGTGTTTTTTGTAAACACTAGGTAGATGCGGGGCTTGTTTGGTATGAGAACCCAATTAAATAACTTAATATCTTGAGTTCTTTATTTATTTTTTCTCCCCGAGACTGGGTCTTTCGAGTCGAGGACAGAATATTTGTCAAAAATTCTACAACCATGCTAGTGCTGAATGATAGAGTAGTCTTTTGTTTGAAAGCCGCCCTGGCTTTGAATTTGATTAGACCGTTCCCAAAGAAAATTGCTTTTAAAAGTCTCTTTTATGTACTAGAATAAAATATATTTTAAAACAAGGAGCTTGTTAAAGAGTGGAATATGATTTCAATGAAAACTATAAATAGCCCAGAACGCTGGGGTTGAGATGATGTTTGAAAGGCTCAACATCTTGTCAGATCCTTTATATAATAGATCCTAAGATATTTAGGCCCTTTGTTCTGTCTTTATCGTGGTATTTTAGAAAAACTTAACATCATGGCCGTCTGGGAAGACTAAGAGACCATATTATGAAGTATTTTCATAATGTGCTGAGAAATTGCGTCGTCATAGCAATTGGACTTAAGTATAACAGAATATATCAAAGATGGAAGGGTGGGGGAGTCGTGGAGCCAGGAAACAGAAAATCTTAGGAATACCAGCAGGAAGGCTTAGGTGTTTGAAGCCATTGAGCCAAGATTCAACTCATTAAACTAGTCCTTTATTTTCCCTTTCATTGCAGCTAATGTCTTAGTTTTTTGAAAGGTCAGATTGAAGTCAAAGTTTAAAAAATGTGCTGGGGGAGCTGGGGTAAGTGCTGCAGTAAGGGCCTCTGTGTAGGAAATTAACAATGAGCCTTTTTTAGTAACTGGGCCAATAATTACTCAAAGGGACCCTCAAAGTGTGTTAACTATTATCCAGGGACCTAGACGGGAGAACCTGAAAAGGAGGATTTGCTCTGTACTGGTCAAGTGGGAAGCAGTTCTTGTGGTTAACCATCAGCTTAGTAACTTTCTCTCTGATATGCCTTTGGTTTGCCAGTGTGTTTTGTAGTAATCTAATAATTGGAGAAATCTGATATTCACAGGCTCTAAGGTAAGCCTGTCAAGCAACCTGATGAAGAGGTTAAGATGGGAAGAGCTGTTTTAGGTATTATCTTTTGATTGCCTGGGTTGGAATTTTCTCTGCTTTTCCTTACCTGCCTTCATACTAAAGGGTGGGGCTGACACCACATCCTAAAAAGTGGATCTCAGGAATAGTTTCCCACATTCTGTCATTGCTAAACCTGACTTAGGGACAGTGGGCTGAGGCTGGCCTGCCTTTGTAATCAATTCTCCATGGACTGTGGGAAGACTCCACTAGTTATGCACTGGGGTCTGGTACAGCAAAGCCATAGAGGAATGCAACGCTGTAGTAGCAAATGCTGACTACAAGAATGTGGAGGAGGAGGACCGCATAGCAGGTCACTTGGGACAGTTGACTGGAGCAGCTGTGCTGTGAACCATCACCTCCCTTCCACCTTTTTGGCATATTCCTCTGATACTAGTTTTGAACAGGAAATAGTATTTTGTAAAGTAAGTATACCAGCAAACTAGGCCCAAGTCAGATCTTTGTAGCTTGAGTCCTTGTTTCTGATGATTTCATGAAATCAATCTCTTTTATTACAGAATAGAAGGGGATTTAGGAATCATCTAGTGATAGGATTCTCAATTGATTTATCAGAATGTGCATGAGGGGAGGGCATGTTTAGTTTTAAAAATATATATTCAGTATTATTACTTTGTCAAGTGTGGAAACTGAGGCCCAAAAGAGTGTGACTAGGCCAAGGCAGGACATCTTCAGAGATAGTAACTGCCAAGACCTGGGAGCCTTGGTTCTCTTTCCACATTTTAAATCGGCAGTGGGATTTACACACTGTCTAAAACAAAGAGAAAGCACTGGGAAGATATCTGAAATCGGATGTTTGTGTGTATTCATTAAGTACCTTTAAATGTATTCATTTTATTTGAAATGATTTTGTTCAGTTTGCCCTTAGAAGCTTGTTATCTTGCTCTTCCCCCTCCTCCTGTAGACTCCACATTCCTCCATCATGTTGTCATCGTTTCGTAAACGCAGAGTCCAGGTATTTGACTAGCATGCAGAAAATGTATTGCCTCTTTGGTTTTGCCTGGCTTGCAGTGAAGACACATTTGTGTCGGAGAGGTTGAATGATCCAAAGAGAGGGGAAAATTCCCTGTCTGCATGACTTTTCTGTTAAGCCGATGGGTTAGGATTTGTTTGGGTTTTCTTTTTTCTTTTTTGGTGTTAACGTTACAGTAAATTTACTGTAAAATTTCCAAAGCCTCCTGTTTTTTACCTTCTTCTCTTTCTCTTTAAGGCATGAATATATTAACTTATCACCAAACTGGTGTTTGCATGTAATGTTTGCTGATTTTTTATTGATGGCTACTTGGTTTTTAAGAACCAAGGAACTAAAACAGATTATTCTAATTTGGAAAAAATAATCTGGAAAAAGTACAATAAAAATATAATAGTATTTATATTTAAATTTGACAAATATTATAAACTTGGGTTTGTTTCCTGTTCTGTTGACTTATTTCTTCTGCCACAATCCTGTAATGAAATGGAGCTTACATTTTCATGTTTTTTAAAAAAAGCTCCCTTTATTTGCTTCCTTTATTAGTTTATAGTTTCTGAGTGTTTCCTAAATTGGACCTTTTCAAAAAGAAAAAATGCTTAAAATTAGTATCCCAAAATGAGAATTATAAATTTTGGAAATGTCTAGTGTTTGATTATAGGTGATAAATCCAAGGTAGGCCCATTTATAAATCAGATCAATTAATTAAATGAGGTTTATAAAAATGGGCCTCATAACCTTTTCCTGTTTCAAATCATAATAATATGTTATACTTAAATACCTCTCATCTGAATTTTACAGGTTAAAAGGTAAGTAGCAGCAAGATAGTATTTGGGAAGCATTCAGAAGTAAGTTTCTCAACATGGCTCTGCATTTCTAGATTTTGATGCAATGCGGTATGAATCTATTGCTTTCTTAAAGCTAAGACCCTGCTCACCTCTGCAGAAGTGTGCTAATGAGTTGAAATGAATTAATCTATTCCAATCCTGATTGGAATGTGGTTTAAACAAAAAAAAAAATTGTTTTTGTTCAAGAAATTAAAAGTCTTAGTTTATGTATTACTTACCTCTCTGCTTACCATCAGATATGCCACTAAAATCTGCAGCTAAGCTGGTTTTGATTTCATTTTGTTTGAGAATCCACTGGTGTACAATTTTATGGGTGCTAACCAATCCTTTGGTGGTTCATTCTCACAGAGCCTTTCCGTATCCATGGATATAGTTCTCTTGCTTTGCAAATCTAAAATTTGGTAATAGGCTGGCTTTCTAAGCCATGGAAAAAAGGTATTGTTGGTTCTGCACATTTGGGCTCTGACTAAGCAACAAAACAGAACTGATGAATGGTTTCTGTGACCTTTTGCTTTGGGTGATGTTTATGGATTTTTCCGTAGAGCCAAGTGATTCGTTCCTAAAAATCTCTTTCTTGCAAAACAGTGTATCTGGTGTCCATCCTGAAAATCGGAATTCATTTTGTAGTGTTCCAAATGTCTCTTACATCCAGCACATTCAGCTTGATGAAAGAATATCAATCCTAACGCTCTGTTTTTAATAAAGACTCCTTTCCACAGCACTATAATTTTAAGGGGCTCTACAGAGAAACTGCCAAATTCTTTCACTCTCTAATATCCATGTGAGGGTGTCCTAAACCACTCACTGCAGGGGTCAAGTTTACAAAGTCCAAAGCATTTGACCTTTGGTTTGTATCTGTAGTCTTTTGTGTTGCTTAACACAAAAGTGTTATTTTCACCCACTGCCTCTACCCACTCCCCAAAGATAGACAGATCTAACCTCTGTATGGTGGGGCATTTAAAAATTCCCTGGCCAGGCAAGGTGGCTCACGCCTGTAATCCTAGCACTTTGGGAGGATGAGGCAGGTGGATTGCTTAAGTTCGTGAGTTTGAGACCAGCCTGAGCAAAAAGCGAGGGACCCCCCCACCCCTGTTTCTGCTAAAAATAGAAAAACTGGGGCAAGAAGATCGCTTGAGCCTAAGAGTTTGAGGTTGCTGTGAGCTATGAGGCTACAGCACTCTACCCAGGATGACAGCTTGAGACTGCCTCAAAAAAAATATTCCCTAAATACCAATAACTGCCTCAGACAGCTGTCTCTCAACATTTGTCAAGAAGACAAGGATATTCATGTCTAATGTCTTGTAGGAATCCATTTTCAGTTAATAGTGTGTTTAAGTTTCTGTTGGATATGAGGAGTCAGAGACATGATGCAATTTTGAATTAAATAGGAAAGTACAAGCCAAGATTCATATCTTTAGACCTCCCCCCTTCTTTCCCAGAGTTTTGGCAGTAGT